CCTCATTTTACTGACCCATACACCTCAATAACATGACCTCGTTTCACTGATCCATACATCTCAATAACGTGACCTCGTTTTACTGATCTATACAGCTCAATTCTGCTGTTTCATGTGCAAACAGCTTATCATACGTATATACATAAAATTATCTTAGAGCTACCTTCACTCAAATGTTTGAGAGAAACAATAACCACAAAACCATTCACTACCTGAACAAAATGCAATAAAACAATTTCTTCAAAGCTGTTGTTGAAAGCACTTTTACCCAAAAAATCTTTCACAAGACCAGATTAAACAAAGACTAAATTAAAGCATATTACACATCATTATTGTACTTGTTAGTATTGCCTTTAAACAAGGTGTAAACTAAGAAAGCAAAGGAAATGAATTACCTGGTGAGGAACTAAGCCAAGAGGAGAAATGAGGGAAGTTGTGAGGTGATCATCTTTGGCACTGGTGTCTGCTGCTGCATAACCTCTGTACAGAAAACACAGGAAAGATAAACAACTGTACATGTATACTTACGGGTACTAACAGGTTCCCCTTCTGACCATAGGCCTTTATATGCCTCTTTCGTCCGATTTTCATTGCATCCTCATATTAAACATAGAGTAATATTCATTATTAACCATGGTAATGATCTGAGTACCCTCAAGAATACATTCAAGTGATGTGGTGCAATACAGTCAAGAATCATTTTTAGTGGAGACTGAGCCAAGAAAACTGAGACTGGTAACTTCTGCAGGAAATCTACAAGATTATAGAAGTCTGGGTTGCCAAACCTGCTGCGGAAGGCACACTGATCTAATGCCACCAGAGATGGGGAAAGAGAGGGCATTGCTGAAATATGACACTAAAAAGTTAACTGTGTTAGATGCAAATATCATAGCAAATAATTACAACAGCCATATTCCAGACAGCCACTCCTTGCTGAAACCAAACAATGAGTACCCCTCGTGTAAATGTGTTGCCATCGTTTAGTAGCATGCTTTAAGTTGATGTATAGTTTCTCCTCTGGGGGTTGAATGGATATTGAATATCTTTCAGCAGTTTTCAAAGAATGGAATGCTCATGGTAAGACAAGGCCCCTAAGTATTCTTGGCTTGGAATTTGAAATAGGTATCCACTGTGAGTGCTCATTTGCATTTTGGGGATCACTACACCTTCACAAGAAGAAGTTAACAATGAGAAAAGGAAGAAATATAGCAAAGCAGAGTGACCTACCCCTTGGGGTGTTGTAGCAAACTGACCAATAACTCTACAACCAATGCTGCAGCCACCATGGACAGTCCTGGCCTAGACACAGTGCACTGCTGGTCTAATGTCCGATCCTTGGTTGACTGTAGATAGAATGATTTAGGTAATGAGTAGATTTTCTGCCTGTTTAAAAATTTTTTAGTACCTTTAACATCTAAATGTTAAGACCTAATTCAATACTTTGCTGATTCTGAGGGTAAATTCTCAAAAAAAGGAAGCAATAATCAGCAAAATTATGTTTTCTATGAAGTACAAAACAATGTGGAAATTCTGAAGAGGAATCTTCAAATAAAAAAGGTTTGGTAACAAACTTTTGAAAGTTCATAAAACTAATGTACAATAAACATTTGACAAGTTAAATCTCAGGGAAAGGCTCAGAATTTTAAATTAAACAAGGTTCCTGAGTTTTCTCTACAATCAAGTCCATTCTTCACATTCATGTATAGCACTTCCATATTGTCTCCACTCAGCCAGAACATAAGCATGCCACATACTCCTATTCAGACCAATCTTAGTCTCTGCCTACAACTTACATCCTGTTGCACCTGTACCCACTCTCCTAAATCTCTGGCAGTGTTTCAAAAATAAACAGAACCATTGCACCTGCAAGTCCGTATTGTGAGAACTGTCATTTGTCAACTTCCCATGCCATGCATTCAACAACAGAGAGGAAGAAAACTGAGGTGAAACTTGGCAGTTAAAGAGATAAACTTGGCAAAAACATGGCTAAACTGCCATGCAACTGCTGATGTTCCATTCTCAGCCTTTTTTGCAGTCCACAGTGATAAAGTGTAAATTCATGTAAAGAGTCTTAAAATGAACAAGTTTTGGAATGTAAAGAATCAATGATTTTAGAAAATAAATTTATGCTTGAAAAAAAAAGAAAAAAGAGTCAACAAGAAAATAGTTACATGAAAGTAAACAAAACATAATTTTTAATCAATGCTAATAACATTTTACCACATTTTTATTTTATAGAACAAATTTTATTTCAGGGAGACATAATCCCGGTTATTTTCTTTTCTTCAATTGAATCTTAACTTACAGAGGTGAAAAGATGAGTTGAACGAGTTTGCAAGAAGAGTACAGGGAGCAGGAAGGTTTTCACTTTTAGGGAACTATAACGTTGTTTTGTTGATACAGTACTTACATCTCCTGGAGCTACAACATCATTACAGAAGTAACAACCCAACTTCTCCCCAGGAATACATCTGAGAGAATCTTTTTCTGCCATTAAAGGTTTGGGTTCATCAGAAACCTCTACTGCTGCTGCATCAACAGATGTACCTGCAACCTCGGTGATAGCGCTCTTTTTGGGTGGCTTCAGACCATGTCTGACCACCATGTAAGTGTCGAAGCCAAGTGCTGCGTTCATCACCAGCTGGTTTGAAATTAAACACATCAATTATGCCTATCAGTACTTAATTATTTTCTGATCATTTCTGTTCTTGGCTCATGTTCTTACTTCTATGTTTCAATGTTCCCTCAATGTTTACCTCTTCACTGGCTTATTGTGGTGAATGTGAAATTACTTGGTAAGGTAGGAAGAGGTGAATACCTTGCGTTTGCTTGCACCAATGACAGAAGGTAACCAGCGGCTTTCCCTGGTATCCATCAAAAGGAAGACAACATCATGAGCATTGATCAACTCCTCTAGCTTTGCTACATCTTCTTTGGTTTGCTCCAAGACATCCTCTGATGAAGAGAAGTGCAGTGATACCAGTAGCTGGATAATAACACAGCTTGCCATACATGGAGATAGACAATTTGAGAAGTCAGCTAGAAAGACTGCATAATCAAAAGGAGGCTACAATGATAGTTTATGTTCACTGCAAAGTGAGTCATGGTTCATGTGATTAGACCATTTTTTACAAGCTACAGTGGCATGTGCACAGACTGTCATCATAAGATAGCGGCACGTCAACAAGAAATCTCTAGTTGCATTTGTTCTGGTTTTGCTGTAGTTGATCTAGGCTGGGTTGTGGATGCTTACTTTAGATGTTAACCAGCAGGTTGGCTAGGCTATGTCGGTAAGTTTACCTTGTCTCCCTTTACCTTATCATGCCAGGGTTGTACAGAGAAGTCTGATGCAAACTCTCTTTGTGGTTTTTTGTTGACAAGATGTCCTCGCCAGCTGTACCACTAGTGGTACAGCTGGCAAGGCTGATTCATCGTCTGGTGAATCACTGCAAACTCCTGCCACCAACTACCAAACATTCAACTATTATTACTACTCTGATGAGGCCTTGGTGATTTTCCTTCACTGTAATCCATTCAGTTCTTACCTGATGAACCCACAGCATGTCCAGGCATAGGGATGGACAAAGAAAGACCAGTAGCTTGCTAGAAATACACAACAAAATTAGTCACAAACTTGGCTTTTTTTGTCATTTGATTTTTCTATGTAGCGTTCATCAAAGTTATAATATAATGAACATCATGACTGACTTGATAAAATAATTACTATCCCAAAAATCCATAATAATTGCAAGTGGAAACAGGAATAAAAATTTTTTGTAAAACTGTTACAGTCTTGGAACACATACAGTTGAACCTTGGTGCTTTATTGAAAATGTGCAGGCCTATATATGTATGTTGCTAAAGACTGGGGAATGGCCAAACTTTGTACTTTTTTGTGTAATGTTTTTCCATGTTTTCCACAAAAAATATCTTAAAACCAGGGACAACAACTAAAATTACTTTTAAAGAGCTGATTGAATGTATAACCACTCACCACACCAGGGAAGATCTTCTTGAGTCTCTCTGCAGCTGCCTGAGCCTTGGGTTTACCTCCCTCCAAGGAATCCTCAAACTCAAACAAACTCTGACGGACAGGGTTGGAATATGACACAGTGGAATTGTCTACTAACGTGATAGTGCGTACACCCCAGCCCTACAAATCAGGAAGAACCAAAGATGGTTAACCTGTAACACAAACAGATTTTAAAGATTAAAGCCATTTCACATTTATATTGTTGTCCAATGTTAGCCAATACAAGGTTTGAAATTGCTAATGAGGCTGCCATTAATGTTTTTGATTCAAATTCATTCATCAATCTGCATTGAGATTATCCAGCTATTCTTAACTCTTAACAGTGCTTGGAATGGTTTTAAACAACCTTCACAACTCAGATCACAATGTTTAAAGTGTAAATATGGTTAAACAAGGAGGGTTGGCATGGTTAAAGTATGGTTTGGAATTAAGCCTAGTTTCCATAATGTAGAGAGATTCAGGTACATTGCCAATCGATTCCTAAAGACATGTGGACAGCCTTTATCAGGACTAACAGAAATATGACTGTGAACAGTCTGGAGAGTTGGATTACGATAAACTTACTATACTGAGTCATCAGATTAGGCCCATGTAATAAAGAACGCCAGTATGACAGGAACATGACAATGTTTCTCTTTCTTAGTACAATACATTTTACCCATTATTTCCTTTCCAGTAAAAAAAAAGACAACCCTACAAAACAGCTGACCTTAAACGAAATACATCGAATTAAAAAACTCATTTGGCTTCAGAAAGTGGTATGACACACATAAAAAAAGGCATATCACACGAACATTTTTGGAGTTTTTAATGCCATTTTGTTAAACTTCTTTGGCAGCAAGCACTGCCCTTTTGCAACTGTTTCTTTCTTGACATCTTATGCGCTGTCAGTGATCATTACAATCACACGGGTACCAGGTTCTGATTGTGTTCTAAGATATATGATAAAGTACATCATCTTATCACACTAACCATAAGGCATCTGGCAACATTACAACCAAGGGTTCCTGAGCCCAGGAGAAGACATTTGGTCTGGGCTACTTTATCTAGGTCAAGCGAGGGCAGCAAACGCCACCTCATCAACTTGAGATTCAGGTCCACAGATGACTCAGCCAAGCTACAAGAGGTAAAGGAGAGTCAAATTGCTGGAAAATAAAACAATCAAAAGCAGAAAAGTGGACCTAAATACATGATCATGTCCTGACAATGTTCAGAAGAATGGTCAGTCAATGCCAATATCTGAAGGGATTTTCCATTCTTATAATTTCAAATAATTTTGAATACTCTTTCCTTTATTCATGCATCTTTAATCAAATTTTCAACACATTTTACTTTGGGGGAATTCCGAAATGCATTTTAGCGTACTGTATTTTGCCAAAACAAAGACAATTTTTATTAGAACTTTGTGAAGTCTTCATCTAAAAATTCCCCCCCCCAAAGAAAAACCTGAAAAACTCCTAGTGAAAAGCTTTAAACAGAATTCAGTCTACATATAATTCTTCCTTACTTATATGCTCAAATGTCCCTGATAGGCACTGGTTGTTTGAACTTTACAGCAAAGGTCACAGCATGTTTCACTCGTCTGGTTTTCTGTCCAGGAAATGACAGACATCAGCAGCAGGAATTTCAAGTGAGGCAGTACACTCTTACCGTGTTGGATCCATGCTGGCACTCAGGTCTACCTTACGAGGTGCCATCTTGTTCTTCTGATTCTTCTCCCAACCAACACACTTTGGACACTCTGAGAACACAGAGGATATACATTAAGCAGTCTGTAATGAGGACTTTGAAGAGGTGTTTCTTTGCATGATCAACAATCAGTGGTTTCAAATACACAAGACTTTGAAATGAGACTGAAAACTACCATTCAGATGTTTCATTGAAGGCAGGTGAATATCCAGCACCAGACTATGGTCTGTAGTACGGACTCCTTCCCTTGTTCGATCTCTCAGGCACAACACTTGCACATTCTGTAACTCATCTGACCTGAATCAATAGACACATCAATGCAAGAAAGATGTTTAGTTTTCATCAGAGGAACTTAGTTATGATTTAAGACTGATTGAAAGCAACTACCCACATAATTATTGGTTTTGACTAATCAGCCAAACCTTTGCTGTATATTTCATTTTGTTCCAAGTATGGTATTTGATATAATTACTACACAGAGTAGACTGCACCAGACCGATCGAGGGCTTGTTATCTTAACAAAAATGACTGAAGACTTCATCTTACCAGTGGTACGCAGCCAGTACTAGAAAGTTTCTGAGTGGCCATCCAGGGTACTGATCCAGAGTACAAGGGTCACAGAAGCCAAGCATCACCTGTGTACAGAATCAAAATAACAATAAATCCAAAACCTTTATTGTGAGATTAGCAAGAATTTAGCAGTGTGTGATGATGATGAACATGAGTTTTTGTATCACAGAAGTCCTTTCCGACTCTAGTCATTGAACTCACTGTTACTAGCCTAGTCTACCAGATACAAGTTCTACTAAAGAGAACTGCGGACTTATTTGAATATTTGGTTTGCCCTCAATCAATGTTGTCTGGAAGCTGAGAAACAAAATTCATGACACTGCATAGGTGGGACTCCACTCCACTTATTTCCCATGTTCTCACAATATAATGTTTAGACAGGCAAACCTTTTGAGATAACTTTTATTTACTACATACAGCAAACATCTACCAAGAGGCTAAGGGATAGTAAAAACTGGCTCACTTATATAGTAGCTGTCTGAATGTGACTCGAGCCATCAAGCCAGCATCCATGGCAAAACACATTCAAAATTCCACATGTCTTGTCTTTATCTAATTGTGCCAGACTGTGAAATTCTGAGATTGGTAACATTTCCACTGACTTGTGATTTATCCGGTAACAAGTCCCAATCAGAGAGTTGGAACACAGTCAGTAGATCATCTTGCTTCTGAACTAGGAAGAATGCCAAGCCTTTATGCTGGTCAGCTAAGGCGTCATATGACTCCTGGAGGGAATAAATCTGGGGAGCCAAGGAAAAAACATAAGATAAATTGTCAAATAACAAGAAAAATCATAGCACTTCCAAGAATACGTCCTCCCAACTCCCCTCATAGACTTGTACTATTAGCTTAAATATGATGGCCTCTTTTACTCGTATGAAGGGTAGCCATATTATCTGCGCCACCTTCTGAGAAACATCAATTAATATGTATCTGACAGCAATGGTTGTTCTGTAAACAGACTAAATTGGGGTGAGGGAGGGTTTCAAACTATCCCGTATGTCCAGTTGGCACAGAGTTGAAAAATTAATCACATCAAACAAAAGTGTGCCCTAAATTTGGAGCAATCTCATAACTTTGTCTTTCTCCCAAATATGAAGCTAAATATAAAGGATTGTCCAAAGCCCACTTGTAGGCTAAAAACTCAACAAGTCCGCTTCAACTGTTGTAGCAAAATGTGATATCTACAATCACTTTGGGGCTCATTACATGTTGAAGTTTACTCCATTCTCCCAGCAACAACCGACAAGGTCTTACAGGACAGAGCTGAAATACACAGCATTACGAACTATTTTCTCTCTGCATTCCTGTAGATCGGACAGAGTGCTTGCAAACAATTCTATGGATTTAGGGTGAAGGTGTCAATGTGATGTTTGGTTAGTGCATCAGTCAAATGTCTTGGTGTGCTCCGTAACATCCAGTACATCAATATACCAACCTGCTCCTCACTGAAGCACTGGTTAAGACGCTGTGTCTTAGCAACATTAATACTATCAATGGCACACAGAGCAGGAAACGAAAACCAGAAGACAAAATGGTACTTCTTCAAATCCTGAAAACAAACAAGAAAAAATTGTAGGTGGTATCATTTTTATTTATCAATTTATGTTGATGACCCAACAAGCCCTGATTCATTTTCACCTTGCTATGACAGCCAACACTTTTACTACAGCAAAGTATGGACTAAAAGTCCAGGCCACACGTATGTGGTCCATCAAGAGCAAAATCTGTTCCCTTTCAGAGGCAGAAATCTAGCACAATCTAACTGTATAGTAACATCCACAATACCTTGGTAAAATTTAGCCCAAATCCTGGTTATATTGAAGTTCAAAAGTTGTTTGAGAGGAGCAAAATATTTGTGTTTCTAGTTTGTAATTGATGTCAGTCCTATTAACGAAAAAAATATGACCTCTTGAATGTTCCCTACTGGATGTCACATATTCAGATGATCTTCTCTGTCTCTCAGAGCTTACCGCAAAGGTCAACAGTAAAAACCTGGACAGGAGTGAGGGATCTTTCAGTGCTGCTCCAGATGTGATGTCTGTCCAGATCTGAAGAACCAAAGTCAAAACAAGGTCCACTCACAAACTTTTTAAAAAGTTAGCTCACTGTGCTAGGTATGGTCTTAGCTGGAGTGGTGTTGTAGGGGCCTGGTCTCAAGGAGCTACTTTTAATCAGAAAGTAACATTTAGCAACTTTACATATTAAACACTTCCTGCCGGGGACTCCGGAATCGGAGACGTACGGTTTATATGCATGGCCAAGGTCTTCCAACTCCGACAAAGGAAACAGGGCCCTGTAACAAAAGACCGTACTCCAAACAAAAGACCAGGCTGCTGGGCATTACCAACATTTTTCACTCTCAAAAGTGGTGATAATCCAGCCTTGTTTTGAAACCATATACCAGTGTTTGGGGCATTGAGAGCGAGCGGATTACCACCAGGGACAAAAGCGCTCCACCACCGCAGCAATGAGCCACACAGCACCGCTGCACGCTAATCTGGCCCCTATTCAAAAGAGGTCAGCTGTACACTGAGCCAGGTTCGTGAACAAAAGACAGTTATACAACATCGCATAATCTGGGCTCTGTTTACAAGGCTGCAGGCCTAGCTGAAATACTCGGGCGTCAATGAAGGTAACCTCTGAACTTAGAGTAGTGCCTAAAGATTACTTTGTGCGGCTATAAACGACTGTTAAATGAAATGATGAATTTGAGGATTTTGAAAACGGAAAAAATGATAGTCATGCCGGCCCAGCATCATCAACATTGAAAAATGCCCCGGTATGAAGTGGTTAAAGCCAAATTTCAGTAGTGAAGCAGTGGCATGCAACAAACATTTGGCATTTGGGTTGGTCAACTGTTTTTGTTAAGCCAACATTTTCTTTGCCAATTTGCTTCGTAATATTGGCTTCATGTGTTGTGGACATCTACATCTAAATTCTGAGAATTTTGTTAATTAAGCTTTTTTTCAGCGTCCAATTTTGGAAAAGCCTATTCTTCATATTCTGAGTCCAGTTCCCTAGTTCTGGAAATGTTCAAAAATTTGTCTTGAAACTATTGTTTCTTTTTTCTACATATATTCCCATCATTCTTGTTGGTCTTTTTAGAATGTGGAAAAACAAAAATGACACTGAAATTTGAAAATGATGATGGTAAAATAAATAACACTGTGCATAAACTATTTGCACGGTCACATAAAAAGGCTGAACATATGAACACCCTTTTTACATACATTAAAAAAAATGAGCTATGTTCAAATCAGTAAAGAAAATCCAACCATAGCCAAAAAAGAAGTCTTTTCAGATCATTTCATGTATACTCACCATGGCAGAAATTTTCTGAAGTTCTGTTTTCTTCTCACAAGACTTGAAAGCATCCAGTGTGTTGAAATTCAACAATGTGCCATGGGACGGAAAGCAGTGTGGGGGACACTGAACAGGTCTGAAACAGAAAAAAAAAGCATGCTTGGCCCAAAAGTGACAGTTCAATTACTAATATATTCTTAATACAGTACTTTATGTTACAATCTTCACAGAAATACATTAAAATACACCAAAAAGTATATTTTAAGTACAAATAGTTAAAATCACCATCTTTTAAAAAGAAAGATATTGAGCTGTGATTTAAAAGTCCCTAATCTGTCAATATTTCTCACAAAAACTGGCAGTCTGTTTGTCAGAAATGGGATGTAAACAGTAAAAGTGCAATCAACATATGCTTTAGTGGGATTTGAATGGATGTTAGGATGGATGTCAAAATGTATGCAGAGAGGAAGCTCCATAGATGCTACAACAAATTTTTAGCATGACTATAGTCAAAGCACAGTCCTGAAACAAAGTTCAAGCCAGACATGGCTGGATCATCAGCTAATGTGGAAAGACATGTATCACTTCAAATCAATCAACAAGAATCATTCACAGGGTATTTTGTTCTGTTTCTATTGTGGAATAAGATATTTGCGGATTCAAACTTCAAATTACTTGGCATTTTCATGGCACTATCTGAGTATCTTGAGTACATGCTCTGAGTACAAGCACCTGCTACTTGCAAAGAAGAGACAGGCTGGGGAAAGCTGGGTAACAGAGCTAATGCACACATCCGCCACTGTATGTACAATTGGTTGGGTGTGTTCTGCAGGACACCGTCTCTTGTTCTCGCTTGCAACCCAATAACTGGACGCACCTACATTTGGAGAATGACATTCTGGAGATATTTCAAAGTTAAAGGCAGGAAATTGGAGAGACAGACAGAAAAGCTTGAGTAACCTTTCAACTTACTCATCAAAGGAGTTGAAATCCAGGCTAGTCCTTGATGGGAGGCCATCTGCATCTCCTAACGTTGAAAAATATGAAACCAAAATGAGTGGTTCTTAAAATTTAACTCCATTTTAAAGTGATTTTATAAATAAATTTATTTACTTCTATCAGCTAGAAAATTTAAGAACATTTAAAAGTGCTGCTCTACTTAAATGTGGCCACTAATCTGTCAAATATGCAAAACCAAAGGGAATGGTGAGTTTTTGTACCCTTACTCATCGAAGGGGAAACTTATACTTCTTTCTGATGAAAGTTAACAAGATCAAGAGAAGGAAAATGATAACCCAATCACATTACACAATGTGGAATATAAAGTCAAGTCAATCCTTGCCCCTTGCAGAGAAATCTAAACAATTTGAATCTAGACACAAAGTCATGATAGAAAGATCAAATATCAGTACTGCAAGCCTCGTAGCACATACTGCATGTGTGAGCTACATGCATCTTTCACGTTCTCAAGGGAAGGAAAGAGAGAAATGACTGTGACAAAACCTTTGTGAAACCAGCTGCAGCTCAGGCGTGGGAAAAGTACAACCATGTCAAGAGCAATACCTCCTGAGTTACAATTTGCTTGAAATTACCATTGTAGTAATAACCACTGATTAGTTTAGGGGAGTCATCCAGCTTGTATTCTTCCAGTTTCTTCTTGGACAGCCTATGCCAGAATCCAACATCCAAGGCACTGTTCATAGGTGCAAACTGTAACTGGTTCCATTGACTGACATTCTGTTCAGAACTTGCCATTTTGGATTGGCCTGTCAAACAGAAGGGAAAAAGCTAATGATTTTATGAAACCAGTATAAAATTTTTGGTTCAACTCACTCAGGATAAGAAAATGATATATTCAATTGATGCCATCAATCTTGTACTAGCAATCCTTTAGCTGTAATTAGGACAAGAAAGCTTTCAAAAAATCTGCATACTGGAACAAAACACACACAGCCACAAAGGACGAAATTAGCAAAAATATTGAATTGATCAGTTCCAAACTGACATTTAAGAAAAAAGTGGAACAGGATGGCAGCAAAGTACACATATACATAGCATTTAATATTTTTGTAGTCACTCAGCCTAGAGCTCTTTTAACCCCTTGACGACGGGAATTTCTTCCCGAAAGCTGACTCCAAGAATTCCAGCCTCGCTTGGCTATGAAGGCCACCTGCCAAACCGCAAATTCTTGGTTTGTGGCCCTGCGTGCTCTGAACACTTTGAATTACACGGTGAAAAGGCCGATTGTTCCATGGTACGTGGCTCTACTCACCCTTCCACATTCCCGTTGCCTCTTTTCAATGTGGGGACGATTGTGAAGCTGGTGATTATGATTCATTTCTGGGCTACGCACAAAGACCGATTACCATATATACAAGAGCCAGGGTATGCCTTCTTTCACCGTGTTCGCTCAAGCGTGGGCCGAGAATAATAGCTTAAAAGCGGGCTGCAGATCTCAATTTTTACAGCGGCTGTAGCCGCTTCCCTGCGCGAAGGGGTTAACTCCTCACAACATGTGCATTACTCCAAATTACATGTACTGTTTGCATCCAGGGGAAGTCTTCCACATACTATGTTACACAAAACATTCTCATTTGAGGGAGGACATTGCTCATATTGAAACATGACCAGCTTTGCCATGTTTACAGTTGAAGACAATGTAGATATTGTAGCTCATATTAGGACTATTGACACTAGCCCAGGCATGCCAGGTTTTGAAATGTAGTTCACACAGTTTGCTTTATATCCCATTTGTACTCCATCTCTTTTAGGGATGTGCATCCTGAATGTCCAATTGTTACTTTAAGCATGGAGGAATAAAAGTTACTAAACGTTGAATATCAAACAGTTACTTGTTCAACACTGAATGTTGAACGTCAAACGTAAGGGCCTAACTTGACACCTGTCATTATTGCCGGTGCTGAACGTTGGCCAGGCATGCCACTTGCCAGGATCCATGCAGGATCTGATTCTAAGGTCAAGGAGGGTAAGGATGGCCCCCAAAAAGACTGGTTTTAAAATTAAGGATTATTCTTGCACTTACGTTTGATGATAATACAGACGACCTACAAGTCAAACTGGAGGAAGACCTGTTTAGTGGGATGGGCTACCTAGGCCTAGCTAAGTACGTCCTTTACGGGTACGAACGTCCGCCCCGCCGTGCTCACGGGACCTACAGCCTACTAATACTGGGGTACATGTACATGTTTTTTTTTTCGATTTACCTGCGCTTCCGTGATTTTCGAATAGCGCCCTCTGAAGTTGATCTCTTTACATTAATTGTGGCGGGAGCCTGAAAGCAGTATTACCAAACATTGTACAAGTTGCGCAAGCGTTTGTCCAAAACTCGAGAACTTCTGCAGTCAGACTGGTGAGTATACAAAATATACTGGGATAGGAACTAAGGGTTTGGGGTTAAACTGCTCAGTCGTCATCGTCCGCCACACTCCCGGCGAACCCACAGTCCTGGGGGTAGGGTCTTGCCGGTGCCCAGTGGCAGTGCCATTGTGGATGTCGTCGTCTTGTGTAGGCATGCTACGAAGACAACGTCCGGTCCAACGCTGGGGGTTCATGCTGTAGGCCTAGCCCAGGTTGGACCATGTTCCTTCCTCCATGGTTGGACTTTGTCTTCATTTCATTACGACTGACGTCCAGGGTATAAATGTTGTTTGCGAAACGACCACAAATTTGGTTCTAATTTGTTCTTGGTTTACCTTGTTGAAGAAACTAATTTTTCACATTTAAATTAGGAAGGTATAATGACGCACACAAGATTTTCAATCGATCTCTTGGACAACTATTAAATTTATTGAACCGTTTTACGTTATACTTCTTTCCAGCAGGCTACTACCATACATCACACTGACCCTCCAGTCTTAGGCTCATCATTTGCACAAGTTCCGTTGTCATCATGCCCGATCTGACTCGCGCGAAAATTTGGGAAGGTATAATGATGCATCATGCTAAAGATGCAAAACTACGGTGGCCGTGTTAACAGGTGGACTTAAAATAGGGAGAGACAAAAGGTGTCCACAAAATTCAATAGAAGTTAAGGGACTTGGCAGTTCCATGTCGAGGGGAGAGGGTATTATCCAGCAAGGCTTTGGCACATTTCTGTGGCTAGCAATTTACTAATTTATGTATCTGTTGATTTGTTCCATTTTAAAAGTTATACCGTTTACATTTCTTTTAGAGATGGAGAACTTTTCCAGAAAGCACTGGCTAGATAAATAATTTTTTTAGTAAACTAGACTGATATGAGAGTCAAAAACGTTGATTAACAATCATGATCTCTTGGGCCT